CGAAGTCACCCTGTATAAAGCAGATGTAGGGAAAATATAAGTGACTTATTATGTTTAACAGGTGCATAGTAACACTCAGATAAGCAGTTTCTTAACTGAGCAACATGCTTGCGACTTGTTGCTGTCAACATCCGAGGTGATGCCTAACAAAAAAAAAACGTCAAGTAGATTGACTCTATACTCGCTACGCCTTCGTTGGAGGTGTCAAAGAAAAGGGATGATTCAAAGCGCGAAATCGAATCGTGATTAGTTAGCTTCACTTAGGGCCGTATTGTCAATCGTTCCTACAATTTATTGTAGGACGTCTTTGAGGCCTCCTTGATTTTCATAGTTTTCTACTGTTCCGTGTCAGCGCTATTTTGAGGTTATGTTACAAATATCTATTTGCATCAAATTGTTCACGCTTTTGATTTATATCATCTGTATATCAGCCTGAAATTACCTACAATTCAAAAAGAAAGATAGACTCATAATAGGAGAGTGCTGACGCTGACTAGGAACAGTAGAAATCTAGAAATACACCTGCGTTTCTGAAGGAGAGAAAATACTATGAAAATCAAGGTAGGAACGCCTGACGATACGGGACCTTACCGCATGCAGCTTTCAACCAGGGTTGCCAAGTTTTCAGTCACGTTGGTCGCCAAGTTTTGATGAGAAAATCGCCATTCCTTAAAGTGCAAATTAACTAGGAGTCTAATCGTTAAACGCCAGGTTAGAGAATGGAATGGATTTGTCATCGGGGTGGGGGAGAGGGGTAGTAGCCTGCCTGATGACGATAACTGAAGAGGGGGAGTTAGGCATAATAAACTAAACAATTCCTTGAAAAGCGGGTGCTGAACATGTTTAATATGAAAAACTATAAGTTCATCTAGAGGGGCATTTTGATGTGAAGAGACTTTTGGGAGTTTTTGATCTTGGACAACGGAAAAACGGGGAGGGGGGTTACCGACTACTAAAAATTTTCTGCGTATTTACCTTTCCCAGCGATTTTTTTTTGGGGGGGGGGGGGATGGGATGTCGTTAATATGCTTGGAACACGACACGTTGACGTGGCATTTGACCATAATACTTGTTATATTTTCCATTTTTCATATTTTTTTATGATTGATGTGTTTATGTATATAATAAAAACATATATTCGGTACAACACATGTATGTTGTTATTATACACGTATAAATGAATGTATAAGCTCTAAATGTTGCACAAATGTTTTTATTGACTTTTATTTCAAATTTTATTCAAAATTTTCGTCAACCAGTCAAACTGGCGGCGATATTTCGTATGCTAGCTTGTATTATTGCTCAGTGCAAATAAACGTTAAATAAATACGGTTAAAATTTAATGTGCCTCAATCATTCAATACCAAGAATCAAATCATTTTACCTACTTATGAAAATCACCTTTGCTAAGGTTAATTTCACCGGACTATATCCTCTAACCCACCTACATAGACTACTCTGGATATAGTCCGGTGAAATTAACCTTAGCAAAGGTGATTTCATAAGTAGGTAAAATGATTTGATTCTTGGTATTGAATGATTGAGGCACATTAAATTTTAACCGTATTATTTAACGTTTATTGCACTGAGCAATAATACAAGCTAGCATACGAAAATCGCCGCCAGTTTGACTGGTTGACGAAAATTTTGAATAAAATTTGAAAAAAGTCAATAAAAATTTGTGCAACATTTAGAGCTTATACATTCATTTATACGTGTATAATAAAACATACATGTGTTGTACCGAATAATGTTTTTATTATATACATAAACACATCAATCAATAAAAATATGAAAAATGGAAAATATAACAAGTATTATGGTCAAATGCCACGTCAACGTGTCGTGTTCCAAGCATATTAACGACATCCCATCCCCCCCCCCCCCAAAAAAAAATCGCTGGGAAAGGTAAATACGCAGAAAAATTTTTAGTAGTCGGTAACCCCCTCCCGTTTTTCCGTTGTCCAAGATCAAAAACTCCCAAAAGTCTCTTCACATCAAAATGCCCCTCTAGATGAACTTATAGTTTTAATCATATTAAACATGTTCAACACCCGCTTTTCAAGGAATTGTTTAGTTTATTATGCCTAACTCCCCTCTTCAGTTATCGTCATCAGGCAGCTACTACCCCTCTCCCCACCCCGATGACAAATCCATTCCATTCTCTAACCTGGCGTTTAACGATTAGACTCCTAGTTAATTTGCACTTTAAGGAATGGCGATTTCTCATCAAAACTTGGCGACCAACGTGACTGAAAACTTGGCAACCCTGGTTGAAAGCTGCATGCGGTAAGGTCCCGTATCGTCAGGCGTTCCTACCTTGATTTCATAGTATTTTCTCTCCTTCAGAAACGCAGGTGTATTTCTAGATTTCTACTGTTCCTAGTCAGCGTCAGCACTCTCCTATTATGAGTCTATCTTTCTTTTTGAATTGTAGGTAATTTCAGGCTGATATACAGATGATATAAATCAAAAGCGTGAACAATTTGATGCAAATAGATATTTGTAACATAACCTCAAAATAGCGCTGACACGGAACAGTAGAAAACTATGAAAATCAAGGAGGCCTCAAAGACGTCCTACAATAAATTGTAGGAACGATTGACAATACGGCCCTAAGTGAAGCTAACTAATCACGATTCGATTTCGCGCTTTGAATCATCCCTTTTCTTTGACACCTCCAACGAAGGCGTAGCGAGTATAGAGTCAATCTACTTGACGTGTTTTTTTTGTTAGGCATCACCTCGGATGTTGACAGCAACAAGTCGCAAGCATGTTGCTCAGTTAAGAAACTGCTTATCTGAGTGTTCTATGCACCTGTTAAACATAATAAGTCACTTATATTTTCCCTACATCTGCTTTATACAGGGTGACTTCGAAGTTGAGTCATTTATTTTAACAGTGAGTAGATCTGATCAAAAAAATGTTTTTTCCTTTACCATTTTTCTGGTAAAGTTAAAGTAACAAAGTTATAGCCCTTTGGAAGTTTGAGTACAGCCCTGTCTCAATAATAATATTATGTGCTCGTGTTTGGCGACAACGGATATAATCCGCCTTATCGGTTCATCGCATCGGAAACAACAAAGCGAAAGAATTTGGAACGATGTTTTTACAATTATTTATTCATTTGTATACAGTCAGTGTCAGTCGGTAACGCGGCGTGAATAGTGGTGTCTGTTGCGTGGCTCAACGAAATAAAAAATGGCACATGTTTATGCGGATCGGTTTCCCAATCGAGTGCAAACAACCAACCCTCGTGCCTTTGTTAATGTAGTACAACGGGCTCGTGAATCAGGTGACGGCATGCCGGTGCTCCGAGACCTCACGATCAAATACAGGTCCGCACTGAAATACTTGTCGGGAGGATACTTTATAAAACAAGGTAAATTTTTTTTTTATTTTTACACACATATTTTGGTTTATCTTCCTTCTACAATCATTATCTGAAAATTAATGACTCAACTTCAAAATCACCCTGTATACGTCGATAAGCAGAAAGCGAAGATTCATCGTACCTTAGGCCCGTATCGTCAGTCGTCCCTACAATTGTAGGGCGCGTTATGGCCTCCTTGATTGTCATACTCCTTTCTCTCCTTCAAAAATTACTAGATTACACTTGTCCCGTGTCAGCGTCAGCGCTCTCCTATTGGGAAGATTTGTTTTCCTTTTAAATTGTAGGAAATTTCAGGCGGATAAAACATGATATAACTCAAAAGCAAGCACAATTTGATGCAAATAGATGTTTGTGACATAACCTCAAAATAGAGCGCTGACACGGAGAAGTAGAAAACTATGACAATCAAGGAGGCCACAAGGCGCCCTACAATTGTAGGGACGACTGACGATACGGGCCTTAGTGAACCTACGTAATCACGAATCGATTTCGCCTGTTGAAACGCTTTGACTCGTCCCTTTTCTTTGAAAACTCTAACGAAGACGTAGGAAGTATAGAGTCAATCTACTTGACGGCATTTTTTTATATGTACGCATCACCAACCTGTGAACTATTCTTCCGACGCCAATCGAGTATTTTAGCTCCTGCTCCTGCGTCTCAAAAGGACTAAGCTACTTATGTACTTCGATCTGCCTGATAAACCCTTTTGATTCCTCTATAATACAATCAAAACGCGTCCCACCGGTCCCACCAATCGTAAGGGTATTTCATACAATATTTAATACGAAAAACGCCATTTCAAATAACACAGCGAACAGCCATTGGCTACAAAAGATTATGAAAGACTGGTTCTAGTAAAACACAAAAAGTGTTTTTTTTCCAACGATGATCGTATTGGTTACCGTTTGGCCAATCCTAGAAAACCACTATTTCTCTCTGTGGCCGATTCTTTCTAGTAGGCGTCTACATGTGCGTGATAGGAAGATTCAAAACAAGTGTTTACTTCAGTGTTTTTTGTAGGCTGGAAGCAGTGTTGCCGGGCGTGGCCACTTTACGCCAAGGTGGCGATTTTAAATAATGGCGACTAAATGGATTGCTTGGCGATTAGGTACTTTAGGGCCATATAGCCAGTCTTTCTTACAATTGTAGCTTGCCTTTCATAGTTATTCGTTCCTCAGAAACGCAGATTAGATTTCAACTGTTTTCTTTTTGAATTGCGTGCAATTCCATACTGATAAAACGATAACATGAGCAATTTGATGCAAATAGGTATTTGTGACATAACCTCAAAAAAGATCGCTGGACGCGGAACAGTAAAACACTATGAAAATCAAGGAGGAACTACTCGGCGCCATTTTTTTATGTTAGACGTCAAATCCGACAAGTCACAAACATGTTGCTCAGTTACTGATGGTAGGTTGATTCCAAATATGGTCATCAAAAAATCCTAGTATCGCGAAGTCCAATTTTTGAACTAAGAAAATAGGTTTTTGGAGTCAAAGTCATGATTATAAATTGTTAATTTCGATGTTTGAGGTCTTGTAAGCAATCAAATCGTTTTTACGACTGAACCAGGCGAGGCAGTATAGGTTTAAATCAACATAAATAGTGATGGTAAAATTATATTACACTTCAACACTTAACACATAAAATTAGAATAAATCAATTTAAAACAAAATCTTAAAAACAATCTGCTTCCTACTCTGTGTCTGCCTCTTGTTCTGGCGGAAAGGCATTCATATCAGGCGCCGTTAATTTAGCACCTTTCAAATAGTTCATCTTCAGCAGCTCTTTTGCCGTCTTCCTTTTAGATGGATTGTACACCAACATATGCTGCAAATAATTCAAAATACGCCGCTTGAACAGGATTTCAAAAAAATAATACAGGTAAATGTATCAAGTTCCTTAAAAAAATACTAGCGGCAATTGTCACCACAATAAAAATCGTTATCAAATGACTACCAAGAGCAAAAATAGAATTCTCAAAAAATTAAGGTAGCGAGTTTTCAGTGACTTTTGTTAGGTTGTATCAAGGTGAAAAACGGTCGTATCTAGACTTTGAAATAGCATTTCGAAGCTTTAAGAATCTACTCTATATATTTTGAAAAAAATAACGGTTTTTATAGAAATATTCAAACGCTTCTCACCATCAAAAATGCCTCTTCTTCCTCCGAATGAAAATTGATAATCTCATTCATATCTATGAGGTTCCATTTAGGAAAAGCTTTGGTATATTCCGGAAAATGCGAAATTCCCTCCCACACACCTTCAGAAGGTGTACCCAATATTTTGAAAATCTTATATAGTTGGTCTATCTCCGAATCCCCAGGGAAAATTGCTCTTTTGGTAAACTGAAAATGGAAGATATCTACTTGAATAGTTTGTAAGTGGGTCCAAGATGGAATCAAATCTCGACATGTAAATAGAAGTGAAGTTTGAATGCTCATGTTTGTTTGATGTGGAGTCAATGAGGTACAAGTAAAAAAAACCCAAGTGAGAATCTCTCAAAAAATA